CCTTCCCTGCTGCCCCTCTCTAAAGTGACTAGCTGCAGGGGAAGTGACTAGTCATGTGACTACTTAAGCATAAACTTATTGGATAGTCATCAGGTAGTCGACTAGTCGCTTATATATCCCAAGTTGTGCGGGGAGCTTGTGAAGTCAGCTTTCTTAGGCTCCAAGGCAGGAGGGTCTTGTTTTCTTCTTGTTCTGCCTAGGTGTCAGCAAGTGAAGAGCTGAGCCTTCTGTAGAGCTTGGGGAAAGCAATTTTGAAATTGTAAAGTACCAGTGTTACTGTTAGAGGGTGGGACTAACTGCTTTTTGGGGGGGAAGGGGAAATAGAGTAAAATCTCTGCTTCATTTGGTTAACTCTTTGGCAAAACTTTCACAAATCCATCTTATCTTAAACAATGTTTAGCGTAAATCATTAGTTCAAAAGGCAACGTCATCTGTTTACATACAGTCTAATTACTATTGCTGCTAAACAATGGTTTCTAGAGATTTAAAAAAATGGTTTTGCAGTCAAGGTACATAATTTCCATTGCTGAACTGTCATGCTAATTACAAATGGTCTGGTAACACGTTTTGTTAGTCACCAGACTATTTGTTGGGTTTTTTTCTGTACAGACTAACTCAGCTACCCCCTGAAGATGCTAATTACAGTGAGATGGGCTGTAGCCACTGAAATTACTTGTAATCCTCCCCATTTTCAGCCATTAGGATGTGCATATAGCTTTCTATGTTTGTGATGTAGAATGATTGCTACATGCCATTTCACGCCCAGGCTGCTGATCAGAGTTTGGAGGAAGAGCTCAAAAGTATTAACTTTTGCTTTTGAAGGGTGCCTTGCTGATATTCAGTGGCACTGGTGAGGCCAAAAGAACCTTTGTCCAGATTTCCAGGGGTGGAAAGAATGGAAAATAATAGGAATCAAGAATAAATCTTATTTTCCCACCTCTAAGTGTGTGTATGTATAATGTGCTTAACATCAGACTATTTTAAATGGCTAGTGCCTTATAACTTGATGAAATATTTATTTTATATTTTGATTGTATGGTTTTGGTTCCTGTGGACTTCGCATATGTAAAATAAATTTTTGTAAGTGTCCCATTTTTTTTCTTAAATTGCGTGAGGGTTTTCCCCCCTAAAGCAAAAGGTGTATGTCATGTTGTTTAACCCTTTGGGCCTCATATAGCTTTTGCTGTTATGGTACATGACAGTGCAGAGTATCCTCTTTAACTGGGAAGTGCTGCCTCCAAAAGTGGCTAACGTATCTACAAAAATCTATGAAATTGTGCTAGGTATAAGTAAATAAACCTCTGACACCCTATTTTTTTTTTTTAATTTAAATCTCTCCAAATTGGAGAAAACACTGAAGGAGATTCTCCACCTCGCTTCCCCAACTAAACTCTAGATTTTAGGCTATAGAGTAGAATCAGCTTCTAAAGCAGTGTTTCTCAACCAGTGGTACGAATACCCTTATGGGTACTTGAGAGAAGTCTGGGGGTATGTCAGTATAACTGAAATTTGGAGAGAACTGATTTTTTTTTTGTTTTTTTACAGTGCTATATTATTTTTGTACTTTTTACACCCAAAAATTTCATTGCTTGCCCTGCTACAATTAAGTTGTTTAAACAAGCGTGTTGCAATGGTAGAAAAAAAAATTTGTCTGAAAACTGTAGGTAGTGGGGGGTACTTTCTTAAAAAAAAAAAAAAAAGTTGAGAAACACTATTCTAAAGCACTTTAGAGACTGACCACATCTCTCTATTGGCCATAAGCAAATCTCTCACCTTGAAAGGTAAAACCTCTGTACTGGAATGCACATCAAATCAAAATTTTTTTTTTCAGGTCAGATTCTACCACTTTACTCAGCTGGAAGTATCTTATTGGTCATGTGCAATGGTACTACTCAAATGTAAGGGTTTCAGGATGCTTCTTACTCTAGTTACAGTGAACAGATCCATCTCTCTCTTCATGATGAATATTTCTATTAAGGGTAATAGATTACTGAAGCTGCTAACCTTACCACTAATATGTAGAGGATACCTACAGTGCCTGTTAGTCCAGTGTACAGCCTTGAGCTGTACCATATGCTTAAAAATGAGGGCAGGGATTAATTCAATACTTAAATAATCAGAAACAACTTGCAACTGTCCACAACTCAACCTCTTGCTTATACTAAGTATTGAGTATAAAATATCTGTACCATTGCTGGTAACTAAAATACTTGAACATGTGGTAGCTTGGAATATTGCTGTGGAGCACTTGAAGTCTGATGCAAAGAGTCTGCTTAGTATATTCAGCTCTAAGGATTCTGGATGAAGGAAGTCCCTTTCTTTGTACTACTCTGTATGAGGTTGCATTCCTACTCTTCTTTATCACAGGTACTTCCTTTAAATCCTATAATATGTTGTGGCAGCTTAAGTTTTAAACATGATGAAAGAGATCCAGGAAATCCATCAATACTTATTACATGCCGTTGTATCTGCAAGCCAATCAGTGTGTAATACTATATCGTCACTTTTTTCTTATGAAACTGCATTTAAACTAATTCAGTGTCACAGTTACAGCCCTTGCTGGAGAAAAAAGTGTAGTAGTAGAAGCACTTCCTCTTCAGTCTACTCGAGCTATTTCTAAAAGGACACATTTTAAAAGGTATAGCTGAAGCTGTGCATACAGTGGAAAAAAGTGTTTACTTCCACCACACCTGGCCCAGAATAAACTAACATCCATTTAGCTGTCTGTTTTTCTGACACATATTCATGGTGCTTTGTAAATGAAAATCAGCCAGATTTGTACTGAATTTTACCCCTGGCAACAGCAATGTTTTGTAAAGACAAATGCTAGTCCTCAGCAGTTTCCATTAAGGTCCTGAAGTTGAGATTCATGGGTTTTTCTGGCAGGTCTTCACCAGCCAGGGAAATACTGAATTCTTGAGTAACCATCAATACATTCCTACTTCTGCAGAAGGCAGGGTCTCCACTGTCCTTAAAGAAGCAGAACGTGCCAGTTTTTACCTATTTGAGAAGGTTGCAGTTAGCAATTTGAGTTTTCATACTTCCTAAATACTCATTAATTGGGTTTAAACATGTTTGTAAATAAAAACTGCGTTAATTGCAGTGGTAAATATTGCATTAGGTCTCTGTGCTATTTTTAATATCTGGCAGCTTCAGTTGGCACAGTATGAGGACATTAGGAATGGGACAGATTTGCTCTGGAGTATGATGGGCCCTGGTTAGCTGGAGACTAGCTTTCCGGCTCTAGTCCATATGCCAGAGATGAGAGCAATAGAGGTGTATAAAAACCTTACCATAAGTGAAAGAAGGCTGTAGTATCCCCTTTAGCAGGGTCCTGTTTCTGGAATTTACCTTCCAGCATTGGATGCTAAAAAGCCACATGTTCTGTAGTACACACGGCCATGTATGTGTCTCAGTGGGATTTGAGCTGACTATGACCCCTAAACTTGTATCAGCTGGAAGTCCGCATTTGAATTACGCTAAAAATTAGAATGGGAGAGGGGGAAGCGCAGTGAAGCTGGTGGATACCAACTTTCATGGTTTCTTTGCTTCAAGTAAAACAGTGATTTCCTTGGCATGTGTGAAATGTCTCTTACCCACAGAAATTGGTCCAATAAAATACATTCTCGCTCCAGTGAAGTTTAATACTTAAGATAGCAAAAACAGGATTGGGAGTAGTTAGCTCAGTAGACTCCTTTATGAAGATGGTTAAGCTACATATGTCAAAGTATGAAGATGAATACAGGTGCAGTCTTACAATTGTATGACATACCAAACATTCACATCCCATTTATGAGACCAGAACTTCAAGTTTCTTTACTATTTAACAGGCATAATAACAGTAATTAAAACATGCCCATTAATCTTTTCATAAAACTGTTACAGTTTACAGGGTTTTTTTTAAACAAACAGATTCTTAGTTATGACAAGCTACTAGCAATGATTAAAATATTGAATTTACAAGTACAAATAGGATCATTACTAGAGTCAAAGTACACCACAGTAAGCAGTTTTTAAGAAGCACAAGCTTTTCCATTCCACAGCCTCGTAGCTGCAATATATATTAATTTCAGCTTTTGCTAACCGAATCACACACAATCTTAAGTACTGAAAAGGCACATAAGTTGCCCCCTGTGCCCTCTCAATGAGCATGGTATGGAGCATCTATCTCAGCATTTCTCCAGTGGTACCTTTTTTGTGCTTACAGGTTTAGGTTTGTGCATCTGTAAACTTAACCAATACTAGGTTTTCTGCAAATATTTCTACAGATAAAGTAAAACTTATTTACGCTAAAAGAAAACATGAAGACAGCTTTTATTCTGAATGGATACAAAAATCAGATTAATAGCTGAACACAGAACTTTTTCCCTTCAAAAGCGATCATTTATGTATGTTGTGACTAATAGGATCCTTTTTCCAGTGGGTATTGGCTCACAAACACAAAAACATTCTTTTTAAGCCAGCAGTGGGCAATAAGTTTTGATTGGGGGGCCACTCTAAGATTGGTGAGACTTGCCACACTTTTCTATAGGAGGGCATTGTGATCTGCGGAAGGTGGGGGTGCAGAGGGTTTGG